AGTCCCTTTTTTATTATTTGAGGAGGTAGAACAAAACTGACTTAGGGTTTGTTGTCTACAAAGAATTTTCTATAAATCAGCACTTTTTTCCATTCAAATAAGGTCCGTTTCAAAATTCTACCGGACGATTTTTGGAAATTATTTTCCCATTTTTTTCCGGCCACTTGAAAATCTACGGCAAAATATAAAACTACGAAAAATTCCTTACACACTAATCTTTGTTTCCATTTGAATAGTCCTTTGAAAATTACAAAAATGTATTTATTATATTTAAATAAACCCCTTGTCAACAATTTTTTTTTTGAAAATTTTTGGAAAATATTCTTCGGTTCCTATAACAACTGTTGCAAAAATCTTATAAAGAATTCTCTATAACCTTAACCTTGTCTTTCTTTGAATAGAACTCTCATAAACTTTTTTTGGAGTTTTTTTGGAAAATTAAGTCCCTTTTTTGTTATTTGAGGAGGTAGAATAAAACTGACTTCAGGTTTGTAGTTTACAAAGAATTTTCTATAAATCAGCACTTTTTTCCATTCAAATAGGGTCCGTTTCAAAATTCTGCCGGACGATTTTTGGAAATTATTTTCCCCATTTTTTTCCGGCCACTTGAAAATCTACGCAAAATATAAAACTACGAAAAATTCCTTACACACTAATCTTTTCTCAATTTGAATAGAGTCCATTCCAACATTTATTTGGAAAATTTTTGAAAATTACAAAAATGTCTTATTATATTTAAATAAAGCCCTTTTCAACTATTTTTTTTTGAAAATTTTTGGAAAATATTCTTCGGTTCCTATAACAGCTGTTGCAAAAATCTTATAAAGAATTCTCTATAACCTTGTTCTTGTATTTCTTTGAATAGAACTCTTACAAACTTTTTTTTGGAGTTTTTTTTGGAAAATTAAGAGTCCCATTGTTGCTATTTGAGGAGGTAGAATAAAACTGACTTCAGGTTTGTAGTCTACAAAGAATTTTCTATAAATCAGCACTTTTTTCCATTCAAATAGGGTCCGTTTCAAAATTCTACCGGACGATTTTTGGAAATTATTTTCTCCATTTTTTCCAGCCACTTGAAAATTTACGGCAAAATATAAAACTACGAAAAATTCCTTACACACTAATCTTTTCTCAATTTGAATAGAGTCCATTCCAACATTTATTTGGAAAATTTTTGAAAATTACAAAAATGTCTTATTATATTTAAATAAAGCCCTATTCAACTATTTTTTTTGAAAATTTTTGGAAAATATTCTTCGGTTCCTATAACAGCGGTTGCAAAAATCTTATAAAGAATTCTATATATCCTTGTTCTTGTCTTTCTTTGAATAGAACTCTTACAAACTTTTTTTTTGAGTTTTTTTTGGAAAATTAAGTCCCATTTTTTTTATTTGAGGAGGTAGAATAAAACTGACTTCAGGTTTGTAGTCTACAGAGAATTTTCTATAAATTAAAACTTTCATCCATTCAAATAAGGTCCGTTCAAAATTTTACCGGACGAATTTTGGAAATTATTTTCCCCATTTTTTCCGGCCACTTGTAAATCTACGCAAAATATAAAACTAGGAAAAATTCCTTACACACTAATCTTTTCTCAATTTGAATAGAGTCCATTCCAACATTTATTTGGAAAATTTTTGAAAATTACAAAAATGTCTTATTATATTTGAATAAAGCCCTTTTCAACTATTTTTTTTTTTAAATCTTTGGAAAATATTCTTCGGTTCCTATAACAGCTGTTGCAAAAATCTTATAAAGAATTCTCTTTAACCTTATTCTTGTCTTTCTTTGAATAGAACTCTTATAAACTTTTTTTGGAGTTTTTTTTTGGAAAATTAAGTCCCATTTCTGTTATTTGAGGAGGTAGAATAAAACTGACTTCAGGTTTGTAGTCTACAAAGAATTTTCTATAAATTAGTACTTCTATCCATTCAAATAAGGTGCGTTTCAAAATTTTACCGGATGAATTTTGGAAATTATTTTCCCCATTTTTTCCGGCCACTTGAAAATCTACGCAAAATATAAAACTACAAAAAATTCCTTACACGGTAATCTTTTCTCAATTTGAATAGAGTCCATTCCAACAGTTATTTGGAAAATTTTTGAAAATTACAAAAATGTCATTACATTTAAATAAAGCCCTTTTCAACTATTTTTTTTTTTTGAAAATTTTTGGAAAATATTCTTCGGTTCCTATAACAGCTGTTGCAAAAATCTTATAAAGAATTCTCTATAACCTTGTTCTTGTATTTCTTTGAATAGAACTCTTACAAACTTTGTTTTTGAGTTTTTTTTGGAAAATTAAGTCCCATTTTTGTTATTTGAGGAGGTAGAATAAAACTGACTTCAGGTTTGTAGTCTACAAAGAATTTTCTATAAATTAGTACTTTTATCCATTCAAATAAGGTGCGTTTCAAAATTTTACCGGACGAATTTTGGAAATTATTTTCCCCATTTTTTCCGGCCACTTGAAAATCTACGCAAAATATAAAACTACAAAAAATTCCTTACACGCTAATCTTTTCTCAATTTGAATAGTCCATTCCAACATTTATTTGGAAAATATTCATCGGTTCCTATAACAGCTGTTGCAAAAATCTTATGAAGAATTCTCTATAACCTTATTCTTGCCTTTCTTTGAATAGAACTCTTATAAAATTTTTTTGGAGTTTTTTTGGAAAATTAAGTCCCTTTTTTGTTATTCGAGGAGATAGAACAAAACTGACTTCAGGTTTGTAGTCTACAAAGAATTTTCTATAAATCAGTACTTTTTCCATTCAAATAGGATCCGTTTCAAAATTCTATCGGACGATTTTTGGAAATTATTTTCCCCATTTTTTCCGGCTACTTGAAAATCTACGGCAAAATATAAAACTACGAAAAATTTCTTAATCTTAGTCTTCATTTGAATAGAGTCGATTCCAACATTTATTTGGAAAATTTTTGAAAATTACAAAAATGTCTTATTATATTTAAATAAAGCCCTTTTCAACTATTTTTTTTGAAAATTTTTGGAAAATATTCTTCGATTCCTATAACAGCTGTTGCAAAAATCTTATAAAAAATTCTCTATAACCTTGTTCTTGTGTTTCATTGAATAGAACTCTTATAAACTTATTTTGCAGTTTTTTTTGGAAAATTAAGTCCCATTTTTGTTATTTGAGGAGGTAGAATAAAACTGATTTCAGGTTTGTAGTCTACAAAGAATTTTCTATAAATTAGGACTTTTATCCATTCAAATAAGGTGCGTTTCAAAATTTTACCGGACGAATTTTGGAAATTATTTTCCCCATTTTTTCCGGCCACTTGAAAATCTACGCAAAATATAAAACTACAAAAAATTCCTTACACGCTAATCTTTTCTCAATTTGAATAGTCCATTCCAACATTTATTTGGAAAATTTTTGGAAAATATTCTTCGGTTCCTATAACAGCTGTTGCAAAAATCTTATAAAGAATTCTCTATAACCTTATTCTTGCCTTTCTTTGAATAGAACTCTTATAAACTTTTTTTGGAGTTTTTTTGGAAAATTAAGTCCCTTTTTTGTTATTCGTGGAGATAGAACAAAACTGACTTCAGGTTTGTAGTCTACAAAGAATTTTCTATAAATCAGTACTTTTTCCATTCAAATAGGATCCGTTTCAAAATTCTATCGGACGATTTTTGGAAATTATTTTCCCCATTTTTTCCGGCTACTTGAAAATCTACGGTAAAATATAAAACTACGAAAAATTTCTTAATCTTAGTCTTCATTTGAATAGAGTCGATTCCAACATTTATTTGGAAAATTTTTGAAAATTACAAAAATGTCTATTATAAACCCATTTTTAACTTTTTTTTTTAAGTTTTGGAAAATATTCTTCGATTGATAACTTTATTCTTATCTTTATTTGAACAGAAGCCTTACAACTTTTTTTTTAGTTTTTTTTGAAAATTAAGTTCTTTTGTTGCTATTTGAGGAGGTACAGCTATACTGACTGCAGGTTTGTACTCACAAAGAATTTTCCAAAGTCAGCACATTTTTCCATTCAAATGGAGTCCGTTTCAAAATTCTACCGGACGATTTTTGGAAATTATTTTCTCAGTTTTTTCGGTCAGTTGAAATGCCTCAGGAAAAAATTTAAAAAAAAATTGTTAAATAGGAAAAACTTTCTATATTCGAAAATCATAAAATTCGTACGCAGGATTAATTTAAAAAAAGATATATAGATTGCGTTAATTAAAAAATCACCTTAAAAACGCAGATTCAGTTTGTTATTAGCTTGATACTCCTGAAATTTAACACTGCAATAACTCTTATTGGGTGAACTATCGGTATCCGATAGAAGCTAAGATTAATTATAAGTTGAGCACTACGTTGAGCAGTTTTCAAAAATAGGGGCAAAAACGTCATGATAGTTACCACCTCCGCGCTACCGCCCCCAACTTTCTATCTTTAAATGCAACGCTTTCATTTTGTCCTCGAAAACTAGAATTATTTACTACTTTGTGTATATTTGAAACTTCTTTATCAACCTTGATCTAATTTCCACGTTTTACTCTTAATCTTTAAACTAAAAAAAAATCAATTGTTTGTTTTAAAAAAGTACACAAAAGTGATTTTTTTTAATTGAGCGTGCACCCAAAACAACTCATAAAACATCCTTCACACTCTTTTTGCTTCAAGACAATTTAAAATAAAAACTGTCTCTGGTGGTAAAAAATCACGGCAATCTCGTGCGAAATGTGCAACTTTTCGTGACCATTGCGTAATACCCCATTTCAACACTACGTAGACCGTAAACGTACTTGTCATTCCACGTTGCACCAATCCCCTCTCCAATTATGGCACAAACAGCACTCCACACATAAGATCCCCCACCTCCACTCCTCCAACCCCCGCCGAATTAATATTAAACGCACATCCAATCGAGTCCAACCCTCAGCAATCCAATTCCCTCACCGGACGTCCGGCCGGGCCCATCCCACCCCTCGACCTTTTCCCAGCCCCTCGACTCACCGGAAGACTGAAAGTCGTCGACGTTCTTCGCGTTGTTGAACGTCTGCTCCTTGGAGGTGCCCGCCACCGGCTCGCTCTCCTCCTTGACTTTGGCATCGTCCAGATCGTTCTCTTTCGCGTCCGACTTGCCCGTGCTGCGGTCGGAGTCGTTGCCCCCGAACCCGTCCATGCCCATCTTCACTTCGAGCATCTCGGGGCTTCCCTGGACCAGCGCGTCGCCCCTGTCGAAGTCCTCGCCGGGGGTGCCGTTCGAGCTGCCCGAGAGCTTCCGAGGCCTGCCGCGCTTCCGTTTCGGCTGGAGGAGGGCGTTGCCGAGCATGTTCAGAGGGTTGCCGAACCTCTTGTTCTGTTGTTGCAGTCTTTGCAGGTGTGGCATGTTGGCGTTCATTTGGTTTTGTTGCGTCAGGGATGACGTTATTGTATCACATTTCTCTTCGTTTACCTCGGTCAGACCCTAGAAATTGAAATAGGGGATGTTAGTGGCTTCATTTACAAAAATTATTAAAAAAATATAAAAAAGGAACACCTTGATTTCATAACAGCCTTTAAAGCTCAAACAAATTCACTTATTTAAAGACGACCCTATTACAAATGTCCGGGAAAAAGAAGTGAGTGCTTTTACGAAGGAATTCAAGATTTATGTGCATAGTTATCCATATACACAACAATTAAATTAAAATAACTAAAAATATAAAAGGTTAATTAACCAGCAATTAACAATACCGTTAACCGCTTGCATAGAAAGAGTTTTACACTTCGTTGTTGAATAATTCGAATTTTAGTTCACGGCTCGATGGATACAATGAAAAAACAACGAAATTATTTGGACAAGTCTACGAAAATTTCGAATTCTTGTCGTCTACTTAAAGCCTTGAATTATCCCTCCTTGTAAAAGTTTTTCGTTTTATTCGTCTGATTGTGTTTCAAAGGTCTTCCAGACCCTATTTTTTTTCCTTAAAATTAAAGATTGTTTTTGACGTCAATAATCTCAAATGCAGTAAAGCGTCTAACACGATTATCTATTTGAAAGTCGTTACTGGCAATATTGGCTGTGGTTTCGGTTGAAATTATAAGGGTCATTAAAAAAATACATGAACAAATTTATCTGTTGTAAATAATGAAGAATTATTAAAAAAGAAAATGAAAAAAAAAAACATTAACCATTAACACTTTTTGTTTTTAGAATTAGCTCGTTGAGATCTAATCTCACAATATTTTGAGAATTTTTTTGGCAATTTTTCAATAACCTCAAATTTTTTGTTTTTAAATTTCGATCTCCTAATAATTTAAAAATAGAAGTTTAGAATTTCAACCACTTTCAAACTCAGACAAACTAATAAAATCTAGAAAAATCGAAAAATGTTGATGAATAATAATCGGAAGACAAAAACTTTTATCTATTTAGGTGCGATTTTTAACAGAGAAAATCGAAAAAAAAATCGAGAAAACAATTTTCAATTTTTGGATATTCAATTTTTCAATTTTTAATTTCTTCAATTTTGGATTTCATTAAAAAAATTTCACTTTCTCTGTTTTCGAAATTTTTCAATTTTTTGATTTGATAATTTTGAAGTTTCTATAATTTTTCGATCCGACAATTTTCGGCTTTTCTAATTTTTCCATTCGATTAATTTTTTCTTCTTTCCAATTTTTCATTTCTACAGTTCTTCGAAATGCAGTTTTCCGAATTTCCACTTTTTCGATTTTGCAATTTCTCGTTTTTTTCAGTTTTTCGATTTTATCGGATTCTTTAGTTTTTCGAGTTTTTCACTTTTCGAATAAAAAATATGGAAAAATTACAAAATTGTAACATTGAAAAATAAAAAAAAAACAAAATCCAGAACTAGAAAAATTGAGTTAATGAAAATTTTAAAAGTCGAAAGATTAAAAATTGAGAAATCTAAAAAATCGAAACAATGAAATATTGTAAAATCGAATTATTGAAAATTAAGGAAATCCGAAAATCGAAGTACTGAAAAATCAAAAAATATAAAATACAGAAACTGAAACTTTAAAAATCGGGAAAATGAAGGATTTTTCAATTTTTCGATTTGCAAATTTTTCGGCTTTCAATTTTTCAGTTTTTTTTTGGATTTTTAATTTTTCGTTTATTCAATTTTAAATTTTTCAGTTTCTGAATTTCTCAATTTTTAATATCTTCTATTGTGGATTTCATTTAAAAAATTTCACTTTTTCTATTATACAATTTTAGAAATTTTCCATTGTTCAGTGTGTTTTAGAAATTTTTCGTTTATTCAATTTCCTCGATTTTTCGGTTTTTAATTTTTGAATTTCTCCATATTTAATTACAGTTTTTCCTTTACAATTTTTACATTTCTATAATTTTTCGAACTGAGAATTTTCCGTTTTCTCATTTTTCCATTCGATTCGTTTTTTCTTCTTTCCAATTTTTCGTTTCTTTAGTTCTTCGAAATGCAGTTTTTCGATTTTTTCGGATTCTTTGGTTTTTCGAGTTTTTAATCTTTCGAATAAAAAATATGGAGAAATTATAAAATTTTAACATTGAAAAATCAAAAATAAAAAACCAAAAAGTATAAAATGAAAAATTGCAAACCAAGAACTAGAAAAATTGAGTTAACGAAAATTTTAAAAGTGGAAAGATTAAGAATTGAGAAATCTAAAAATCGAAAAAATGAAATATTGCGTAATCGAATTATTGAAAATTATGGAAATTGGAAAATCGAAGTACTGAAAAATCAAAGATTGACAGTCGATAGAAACATGGAAAAAAATAAAGGAAATGAAAAAACGAAAAATATAAAATACAGAAAATGAAACTTCAAAAATCGGGAAAATGAAGGATTTTTTCAATTTTTCGATTTGCAAATTATCCGGCTTTCAATTTTTCAGTTTTTTTGGATTTTTTTATTCTTCGTTTTTTCAATTTTAGATTTTTCAGTTTCTGCATTTTTCAGCTTTTAATTTCTTCAATTTTGGATTTCATTAAAAAAATTTCACTTTTTGTATTATACAATTTTAGAAATTCTCCATTTTTCGATTAGTGTTTTAGAAAATTTTCATTTATTCGATTTTTCAATTTTTCGATTTTTAATTTTTGAATTTCTCCATATTTAATTACAGTTTTTCGACTTCACAATTTTGACGTTTCTATAATTTTTCGATCTGAAAATTTTCGGTGTTCTAATTTTTCCATTCGATTCGTTTTTTCTTCTTTCCAATTTTTCGTTTCTCCAGTTCTTCGATTTTTTCGGATTCTTTAGTTTTTCGAGTTTTTAACTTTTCGAATAAAAAATATGGAAAGATTTCAAAATCGTAACATTGAAAAATCAAAAATAAAAAAAACAAAAAGTATAAAAATCTAACAGCAAATTCCAAAACGGAAATGACGAAAAATTGGAAAACCAACTGGAAAATCGAAAAAATGAAAAATCAAAATTGAAAATCGAAAAACTGAAACATCGAGAAACGACACATCAAAAAATTTTGAAATCGATAAAATGAAAGATCAAATTATTGAAAAATCCCAAAATTAAAATATTAATACATTGAGAAATCGAAACATTGAAAAATCGAAGAATCAAAGTCAACGAATCAAAGTCGAAAAATCAAAAATTTTAAAAACTAAAAATTTTAAAAAATTAACCTAAAAAATCGAGAAATTCAAAGGTCGAAAAACCAAAAAATTGATTATTGGAGAAGTTAAATATTTAGAAATGTCAAAAATTGAAAAAAAAATTGAAACAGAAAATAGCAGAATCGAAAAATGAAAAAATCGAGAAATCGAAAATTTGAAAAATCGAAAAACTGGAAGACGCCAACACTGAAATATCGAAAAATTGAACAATCGAGGAATCAAAAAGTCAAAAAATCGAAAATTCCAAAAATCTAGAAATTAAAACAAAAAATCTAAAAATTAAAAAATTGAAAATTTGAACAATCGGAATCGAAAAATGGAAGATTTCGAAAAACTGAAAAATCAAAAACCAGAAAAATCGAAAAATTGAAGATTTGGAAAACGGAAAAATCGAAAAACCAACCGGAAAATCGAAAAAACGAAAAATTGAAAAACTGAAACATCGAGAAACAAAACATCAAAAGATGGAGACATTTTGAAATCGAGAAAATGAAGGGTCAAAATATTGAAAAATTTTCCAAAACTGTGATTTCGAAAAATTGAAAAATCCCAAAATGAAAATATCAGTAAATTGAGAAATCGAAAAATTAAAAAATCGAAAAGCCGAAAAATCAAATTCGAAAAAATTTAAAACCTGAACAATTAAACGATTGAAAAACTGAAAAATCGAAAAAAAGAGAAATCCAAAGCTCGAAAAACCAAAAAATCGTTTATTGGAGAAATTGAATATGTAGAAATGTCAAAAATTGAAAAAAAATTGAAACATCTGAAAATGAAAAAAATTCAGAAATCGAAAATTTGAAAAATCAAGAAATTGAAGAATCGAAAAACCGGAAGATCGAAACACTGAATATCGAAAAATTGAAAACGGAACAATGAACAATAGAGGAATGAAGATAAGAAAAACTGAAAAATCCCAAAACTGAAATGTGTATCGAAAAATTAAGAAATCGAAAGTTGAACAATCGAAAAATCGAAAATTCGAAAAATCTAGAAACCAAAACAAAAAATCTAAAAATTGGAAATCAAGAACTAGAAAAATTGAGTTAACGAAAATTTTAAAAGTCGAATGACTAAAAATTGAAAAATCTAAAATTTTGAAATATTGCAAAATCGAATTATGGAAATCGGGAAATCGAAGTACTGAAAAGTCAAAGATTGACAGTCGATAGAAACATGGAAAAAATAAAGGAAATGAAAAAACGAAAAATATAAAATACAGAAAATGAAACTTTAAAAAAAATCGGGAAAATGAAGGATTTTTCCATTTTTCGATTTGCAAATTTTCCGGCTTTCAGTTTTTCGGTTTCTTGGGATTTTTGACTTTTTCGTTCTGTCAAGTTTATATTTTTCAGTTCTCGATTTTTCAATTGACAATTTTTCGTTTTTTCAATTCTTTTATTTTTTCAAAGTTTCTTTTGTCCTGTAATTTTTCGTTTATTTGATTTTTCAATTTTGCAAATTTTGGATTTCTTCGATTTCTTTAGTTTTCAATATTTTAATTTTACGATATTTCATTTTTCTCATTTTGCACCTTTTGGATTTTTAAGTTTCTCAATTTTTAACTTCCGATTTTTGAATTTGTCGTTTCTTCAATTTTTCAAGTTCTTCAAAAAAATAAGTATGATATTGAAAACTTTGAAAAATCTCGAAAATGGAGATTTTTCAAAGTTTTCAATATCATACTTATTTTTTTTTTTCATTTCTGATTTTTCAGTTTTAGTTTCGCACTTTTTCAATTTTTTTGATTGGAAAAATTAAAAAATTGAAAAATCGCAAAATTAAAAATCGACAAAATAAAAACCGGGAAATTGCAAAGTCAAAAATGACTGAAAAAACACCAACTTCGAAATCTCAAAATTTTGCAGACTTTGATTTTTAGACATACTGAATTTGAGAAAGACCGAAAGCAGTTCGTGAACAAAAAAACACAAGAAGGCCAAAATTTCCACTTTCAATCTCCGAATTTTAAACAACTGAAATTTCGAAAAATCGAAAAATGTTGAACAACTAAACGAACATTTTTAACAAACCGAAAAAACCTGAAAAAACGCAAGAAGTTAAAAATTTCGATTCCGACAGTTCGTGACCAACTAAAAATTTTTTGCAGCGAAAATCGACGAACCCAAAACCACAAAAACGTAAAATTCGCCAGGCGCCTCCCCCGTCTGAAAATAATTTCGGATTTTCAATCCTGAAAATAGCCCATCTATTTTACACTAAGTGCTGTTAATTATTCCGACCCATGAGATTTAGCTGTCGTAAGCCTCTAATTTCGGCAACTCGAAAAGATCGTGAATCACAACCGAGTCGTGATAGATTTAATAATTAAACAATTTGAGTACAGTTAAAAAAATTAATTGATTTGGAAACGCGAGACGCCAGAAATCGAACATTTTGCAATCGAAGAACTCTCAAGAGAAATGCAAAATCGGTAGCAAAATATTTAGATAAATTAAGTCTATATTTAAGGAAAAGGAGGACAAGTTTATCCTATTACGTAACACCGTTTTGTAATGTTTTCATTCAACTACGAGCCTTTCGCTTGAAAAAATCACCGGCGACCTTCCTCACTGAACGCTGTTTTTATACCCTTAATGAATACAACAGCTAGTTTTTTTTAATGTAGTTATCTGCAACAGTTCGATAAATTTAACTTATCCCACTCGTTTGAATTAGGTAATGGCTGCACTAGTGCGGTAATGTCACTTACTTTTTATTTATTGACCGACGACGTTCAGATTGTGATTATTACATCTTCTGGTCGTACAGATGTCGACAATTACAGCTGTTTTAGTCCCGTAAACTACCACCACTATTACTTACCAACCAAGAGTTTATACCTGATAACGACCGTAATTCACCTGCACATTTTTATGGTGCAATAAACTTTACGACGCAACGATGTTTATTTGTTTAATATAATAAAACATAAATTCAAATCAGGTTTCTAATTGAATTGACAGGCTAATTCGATTTTTAAGAAAGAAATAAACAAAGGGAAACGATGGCCGAAGCATAAGGTAAACCATAAAGTGGAAACTTAATCACGTTATTAATTCCACACTAACTACACGTAATACATGAAATTGGGTATTAAAATCCTTCCAGACTTTGATAAAAAAAAAATAATAATAATTTAAATAGTCAAATAGCAACGACGGTGTAAAGTGTGTTGCATACACACTTTCCAAACGTAACTACATCGTCATAGTTAATCCAGCAACCTCAAACCCAAAAAGAAATTCCACCTCGCACTATGATTCATTGCCAAGGTGATTCATTCATAACTTTATTGGAAATAGCACAACCACGTTCCCGTTCCTACCTTTATCCTTAAACTCTCCGCGACCCTCAGAAAAGCCGTCAGCCTGTCCTGGTCCACGCTGACCTCCCCCCTGTACATGAAGTCCAGCAGACTCCTCATGTCGCTGTACGGGACATCTTTCAAAATAACGATCGGGTGTTTGTCGGGATGATTAACGAACAAAGTTTGGAAGTACGGACTGCACGCCGAAAGGACCATTTTATGCGCTCGTAAAAGCTGGCCTTCTACGGCTAACGTGACGTCGACGAAACTCTCGTCGTGGAGAAGCTGGTCGAATACTGACAACAAATTCGACTGATGGTTGTTCCACCGAAGACAGAAACGTTGGGAAGACATGTTTTGCGGAGCTGGGGATCCTACGTCTGGCTGATACTGCGTTGGCTGTGGGTAGCGGTAGTTCAGACTTGTCATTGGTGGTACGGGCGCAATTTTGTTACCGTTGGTGTAACACTAGAAAAAAAAAAATTCTGTAACACGTGGCGAAGGGGTAAAATCGACGAAACTACGTTCAAACTCGAAGATAATACTGCGGCTTGACGATAGTTACTAGTTAGTCAGTAGTTTAAAAGTACTTAACCCTAATGCCGCTTTCGGCGCAATTATTTGAAAAGGTGGTTGAAAATTCAAGTACTATCTTCTAATGACGCCGATAATAATTATTATTTAAGGTAAAAGCGATAAGTTTGTACACTTAACGTAATTGTGCTAGCAACCGAGTAATTAATTTCCTTGAAAATACCATGTGCACATTCCATGTTCGTGAATTTTTACCCCAACTGCCAAAAGAAAACAGATCCAAATCTGCACACTTTGAATAATTTACGAACGAAACAATGGGTTGTGAGATCCTAAAACGCCCGAATACCTTGAAACGTCGGCATTGAAAACAAACGTTCGAAATTCGTTTATTTTAGGGTTTTTTGTTTTGGTGTTCTCAATCTAGTAACGGGAATTTTAATAAGTGACTAGCTTCAAGTTCAATGACTATAAGAGTGCTTGGTCGAACAAAAAATAAACCAATTTTATTTTTCCCTGGATTTGATTTACCAGGTGTGCCAAATCTGGACACAATGTTGTGCTACTTATGTCTATTTTAGTATTTTTTTTATCAAGTTTGCAGATAATAGTAGATACAACAAAAAGACAATATCAAACTGCGCCGATAAACATTGTTAAGGTCACCTGTAATTTTATTAGCTATTCATCGGCGCAGTTGCAATTTTGTGAATAAAAAAATTATTGATAAAAATGGAAAAATGGAATTTTTTGGGAAAAAATCTCAAGGCGGATGCATAAACCACAAGTACACGAGTGTTATTTTATTAAAGGCACATTTTGGTTGGAGCTTTACCATCTACACGATATTCTTAAAATATACATGAAATTTGACAACAATCGAGCCAGTAATTTCGGATATTATTTGCCTAATAAAAATCAATCCAGACAGACGACAAACAGACCTATTTTTTCGTACTCCAGGGGCATGAAACGTCGAGAAAACATAAAGTAGTAATTCGTCGGACGAATCCTACTACAAGACTTCCTTAGCTTACGCTCGGAAAATTAAAAAGTTGGTCAAAATTGAAAAATCTAAAATTCAAAAATCAAAAACCGACAAATCGAAAAATTCAATTTAAAATATTGAAAAGGAAAATAGAAACTTCCAAAACTGAAATGACGAAAAATTGGGAAATCGAAAAACTGAAAAATCGGAAAACCAACTGGAAAATCGAAAAAACGAACAATCAAGATTGAAAAACTGAAATATCAAGAAACGAAATATCAAATGATGGAGAAATTTTGAAATCGGGAAATGAAGGATCAAAATATTGAAATATCCCAAACTGAAAGTTCGAAAAATTGAAAAATCGAAGAAAAATTGAGGAATTAACGAAAAACGGAAAAATCGAAAAATTGAAAAATCCCAAAATTAAAATATCAGGAAATTGAGAAATCGAAAAATTGAAAAATCGAAAGGTCGAAGAATCAAATTCGAAAAATCAAAAATTTTAAAAATTAAAAATTTGAAAAAATTAAAAACCTGAAAAACTAAAGAATTAAAAAACTGAAAGATCTAGAAATCTAGAAATCCAAAGCTCGAAGATCAAAAAAATCGTTTATTGGAAAAATTTAATATTTAGAAATGTCAAGAATTGAAAAAAAAATGATACATCAGAAAATGAGAAAAATTGGTCAAAATTGAGAAATCAAAAATTCAAAAATCGAAAATTTGGAAAATCAAAAACCCGACAAATCAAAAAATCCAATTTAAAAAATTGAAATGGTAAATAGAAAATACCAAAACTGAAATGACGAAAAACTGGAAAATCGAAAAACTGAAAAATCGGAAAACCAACTGGAAAATCGAAGAAACGAACAATCAAAATTGAAAAATTGAAAAACTGAAACATCAAGAAACGAAATATCAAATCATGGAGAAATTTTGAAAGCGAGGAAATGAAGGATCAAAGTATTGAAATATCCCAAAACTGAAAGTTCGAAAAATTGAAAAATCGAAAGGTCGAAGAATTAAATTCGAAAAATCAAAAATTTAAAAAAATAAAAATTTGAAAAAATTAAAAACCTGAAAAATTGAAGAATTGAAAAACTGAGAAATCGAGAAATCCAAAGCTCGAAAAACCAAAAAATCGTTTATTGGAAAAATTTAATATTTAGAAATGTCAAAAATTGAAAAAAAAATTGATACATCGGAAAATGAAAAAACTCAGAAATCGAAAATTTGAGAAATTGAAGAATCGAAAAACCGGAAAATCCCAACATTGAAAAATTGAAAACGAGAAATTGAACAATCGAGGAATAAAGATTAAAAAAATGAAAAATCCCAAAACTGAAAAATATGTATCGAAAAATTAAGAAATCGAAAGCTGAACAATCGATAATTCAAAAAGTCGAAAAATCGAAAATTCTAAAAATCTAGAAATCGAAACAAAAACTCTAAAAACTGAAAATTAGAAAATCTAAAAAAAAGTAGAAGACCTACAAATCGAAAATTCAAAACACGAAAAATTCAACACAACACGAAATATTGAAAAATTGAAAATTTGAACAATCGGAGTTGAAAAACTGAAAAATCGAAAAATTCAAGGAAAACTGAAAAATCGAGAAATCGAAAAGTCGAAAATCCAAAAAATCGAAGAATCAAATTCGCAAAATCAAAAATTTTTTAAATTAAAAATGTGAAAAAATTAAAACCCTGAAAAATTGAAGAATTGAAAAATTGAAAAATCTAGAAATCCGAAGGTCGAAAACTAAAAAATCGATTATTGAAAAAATTGAACATTTACAAATGTCAAAAATTGAAAAAAAAATCAAACATCGGAAAGAAAATAGAGAAATCGAAAAATGAAAAAAATCCAGAAATCAAAAAGTGGAAAAATCTAGAAATCAAAACTAAAAACTGAAAATAAGAAAATCTAAAATCTAAAAGTCGAAAAATTGAAAAATCCCAAAACTGAAACATCGGTAAATTGAAAAATTGAAAAATAGAAAATTCAAACAATCTGAGTCGAAAAATGGAAAAATCAAAAACCAGATAAATCGAAAAATTGAAGAATTGGAAAACTGAAAAATCAAGAAATCGGAAAGTCGAAATCCAAAAAATCGACTAATAGAGACATTGAGAAATCGAAAAATCGAAAAGTCGAAGATCAAATTCGAAAAATCAAGCATTTTAAAAATTAAAAATCTGAAAAATTGAAGAATTGAAAAATCGAGAAATACGAAGGTCGAAAACCAAAAAATCGATTTTTGAAAAAATTGAACATTTACAAATGTCAAAAATTGAAAAAAAAAAATGGAACATCGGAAAATAGAGAAATCGAAAAATGAAAAAATCGAGAAATCAAAAAGTGGAAAAATCGAAAATTCGAAAAATCTAGAAATCAAAACAAAAAATCTAAAAACTGAAAATTAGAAAATCTAAAATTCAAATGTCGAAAAATTGAAAAATCCCAAAACTGAAACATCGGTAAATTGAAAAATTGAAAAATAGAAGATTCGAAAAATCTGAGTCGAAAAATGGAAAAATCAAAAACCAGAAAAATCGAAAAAATGAAGAATTGGAAAACTGAAAAATCGAGAAATCGAAAAGTCGAAATCCAAAAAATCGACTAAAATAGAGACATTGAGAAATCGAAAAATTGAAAAACCAAAAAATCGATTACTGAAGAAATCGGACATTTAGAAATGTCAAAAATTGAAACATCGGAAAATAGAGAAATCAAAAAAATCCCAACACTGAAATATCGAAAAACTGAGAATCGAGATACTAAAAAATTGAAAACGAGAAATTGAACAATCGAAGAATGAAGATAAAAAAACTGAAAAATCCCAAAACTGAAATATGTATCGAAAAATTAAGAAATCGAAAGTTGAACAATCAAGAAATCAAAAAGTGGAACAATCGAAAGTTCGAAAAATCTAAAAATCAAAACAAAAAATCTAAAAACTGAAAATTAGAAAATCTAAAATTTAAAAGTCGGAAAATTATAAAAATCGCGAAAGAAAAAAACACGAAAAACTCCAAACATTGAAAAATCCCAAAACTGAAACATCGGTAAATTGAAAAATAGAAAATTTGAACAATCGGAGTCGAAAAACGAAAAATTTCGAAAAACTGAAAAATCAAAGAGCAAGAAAAATCGAAAAATTGAAGAATTGGAAAACTGAAAAATCGAGAAATCGAAAATCCAAAAAATAGACCAACAGAGACATTGACAAATCGAAGAATCAAATTCGAAAAATAAAAAAATTTAAAAATCAAAAATGTGAAAAAATTAAAAGCCTGAAAAATTGGAAGAATTGAAAAACTGAAAAATCGAGAAATCCGGAGGTCGAAAACCAAACAATCGATTATTGAAAAAATTGAATATTAAGTGCTCATTCACAATGGGCATAAAGCATAAGGACGTCATAAGCATTAATAAGAATTTATGTTTAGTGCTCTATGGTTGTATTCGTTCACAATGAGCATAAGTCCTCATTCACAATGGGCATGAAGCATAAGGATGTCCTCAGCATTATGCTCATTGTGAACGAATAGAAGCATAGAGCACTAAACATAAATTCTTATGCATTAATGCTTATGACATCCTTATGCTTTATGGCCATTGTGAATGAGCACTTAGAAATGTCGAAAATTGAAAAAAAAATTGAAACATCGGAAAATAGAGAAATCAAGAAATCGAAAATTCGAAAAATCGAGAAATTGAACAATCGAGGAATGAAGATTAAAAAACCGAAAAATCTCCAAACTGAAATATGTATCGAAAAAATAAGAAATCGAAAGTTGAACAATCGAGAAAACAAAAAGTCGAAAATTCGAAAAATCTGGAAATCAAAACAAAACATTTAAAAACTGAAAATTAGAAAATCTACAATTTAAAAGTCGAAATATTGAAACATCCCAAAACTGAAACATCGGTAAATTG